TGGATAGGCCAGCCTACTCCCTGCAGACGAGCTGGACTCGACGCCCGTCGTCCTTCCAAGCAGCCAAGCCTTGTTAGCTGAGAAAGTTGCCGTGCCCCGCTCTGTGTGGAAGGTCGGATTCAGGCGCAGCGTCCGAACAGCCAGGGAGAGGGAGACCGATTTTTGCTTCCGAAAAACTGTTATGTTATCCATGACATTAGGTTCCCAACGCGTTCCTCTTGGTGCTGTGTGTCCAACGATCCCAGGCACCACGACATGCTTTTTTAAAGATGGGGGGTGGGGGGGATCTACTATGATTCCTCTGGATCTCAAGGTGCTTTACATTACATGCAGTTCTCCCTTCATTTTATCCCCACCATAATCCAACCTTGGGAACTACATTGCACTGAGAGAGAGAAGTCACCCAGTAACCTTTTGTGGCTGTGCGGGGTCTTGCCACAGCACCAAACTGGCTCCCACTAGGCTGCTGTGAAGCAAAACACCATCACTTCATGGTGCCTGGTTGCCAAAGCAAGCTGATTCACAGACATGTCTAGAGGGAACATAGTCTCCAATTTCAGGGTAATGCACAACATTCAAGAATTGGAATGGCTACCTTAGCAATCCACAATACAACAAATACCACCACATCTTCCCCAATTAGTTCCCTTCCAGGTATACTGGGCTGTGAGTCCCGTAGGCAGTTTGGGGAAGACTAATTCAGAACTACAAAAGTTAGATGAGGACACAAAGGGCGAGTAAGAGGGGTTATTTAAAAAAGGTGGAGTATTACAGAAAAATCAGGAACATACATGCAAGTGGACCGAACAGGGTTCAAAGTTTATTTTCACAACAATCTTCTACACATTCACTTAGAAGTAAGCCCGACTTCATTCAAGGAAGTTTCCTTCCACATAAATATACATATGATTGAATTAACAAGCTACATTCTTATGCCTAATCAACTTTGGCTGATCTCAAAAAAACTAAATGAATGGGAGACCACTTAGAAATCCTTAGGCTGTAGGTTAGACTGGGACGGAAGGAAGGAGGGAGGGAGGGAGGAAGGAAGGAAAAAGAAAAGATCCCAGAAAAAAGACAATGTCAACCCATTTTGATACTGTTGCCAAGAAAACAACATGGATCTCTCCATGAAGTCCCCAGGAGCTGGACTTCAAGGGGATTTTTTAACTATTCAGGGAGTCAGCTTTCCTTGAAGTAGTGGGGCTGGCTCCAAAGTAAACCTATGAATTTGTACTTGTAATTTCTTCCTGAGCAAAGCTGCCTGTTTCTTATAGCTCTGCAGGAGAAAAAGCAAGAGTCTTTTAGAAAATAAGATAATATGCATGGACCCTCTCCAAATATTTCTGAGCACAATACGGCCTAAGCAGTCATCACTTCTGCTCCACTCCCAGCTCTTCCTTGCCAGTTGGTGTGTTCCCACCACACATTGAACCACAAACTAGCTGAACACCTTTTAATCCAAGGTTAAAAATCCAGCCAAGTGTGCTTGGTCTGTGCATGCAGCAAACCTAGAATGAGCAAACGATGGCAAAATTAACCCTGGGCAAATGTGATTCATTGATTCAACCCCCTTCTGTATTTCCTAGAGGAGAAGCTGAGGAGTACTGCATGGTCTTTCATAGTAACATGGGAGATGCACACCAGCCAGGTCCATAAATTAAGAAGAAATCTAAATTCAGTTCCCCAAACAATTAAGCTGTAGCTTTGGAACTAAAGCCAAAGATTGCAACCCAAACATTTCCTCCACTGTGAAGGAAGGTAGTCAGACAGCGCGTACTTACCTGGGAGTTTGCTCTCCATTCATGGGACAGCTTGAGTTGGGAGGGGTGGGGGGTATGAAACTGAAGGGTGTCACG